AACTGGGTCCTTGTAGCAAATGGGATGATAGGATTCCAGAATAACAGAAGCAAGTGGCAGCATTAACTGTCAGAAGTAGTTTCTCTAATGGGCAGCAAGCTCAGAATGACAGCATGGGGCCTGGCCCATAGAAGTCTATGGAAATAATTGATCAGACAGGTGTTCTTACAGGCAAGACAAATGGGTGGCCAGCAAGGATATTACTTCATGTATATCATCAAAAATGATTATAAAGATATGAGCAGATGTCTGAATTCAGCTATCCCATTAAAAAGTCAAGATCTCTTGCCTAGTTTCCAGACCTGAGCCAATTCTTTGACCAAGAACCAGCTGATGGACATGAGGGCACGTAGATGATAGGAAAGGACTCTGCACACGTACATGTAGATATTTCTCCAGTTCTTCAACCATGGGATCAGTGGACAGGAATTTAAGTAACCATATGTCAGAGAAAGGAAAATACACAGATCTTTCAAAGGTTTTTTAATACAGCATCTGAGTTGATGCCTCTGTAGGGATCCATAGCACCATCATGGTCCCTGGTAGAGTTGAATGTATGGAGGCCCCGTAATGCCCGCCTTGCAATGGGTCCACTCTACTCACAGAGCCACCGGACAGTCATTTCCCCAGTTCCTGAAGGTAGAATCAGGACACTCATAGCAGTTGGATGAGCTGGTTCTTTCACCTATAAAATAATCTCTGCAATAACAATAGCTCTTTTAAAAAAAGCCCAGTGGAGGGCCCTGAAACTGAAGTTTCCCTTGGTGAAAATAGTAAGTCAATAACAATATCGATTTTAGAGAGAACTTTTCACGCCAAAACTTCCTGCCTAAGTTAGGATCTAGAGGTGTTGTGTGTTAACCAGAACTCCAATCCCATCTCTCCAAACAGAACAGTTTTTCCTGGTGCAGCCCCAGGCCTGTCCTCTCTGGGCTGGAGGCTTCTTCATCTCTCCTCCCAATCTCTCCTCTTAAGGAGATGTGGGCATCCCTTTTCTCACAACTGCCTCCCCTCCCTAATTCCTTCCCCAGTGGTCCTAAGCTCCTTTCGGCGTTTCCCTAGCTAGAAAGGACTCTCTCACGCTAAGATCCACACTGTGCAGTAGGACCTTTAGGTCTCTTCTCCCAAGCCCGAGAAGTGGATGGCCCTCCAAGCCGAGGACCCCAAAAGTGCCCTTCCCAAGCTGGAAGTGGACGGCTATCTCGTGCCAGAAAGCCGCACTGCATAGTCTCCCAAGCCGGAGAGTCATTTCTTCTCTCCCTCCCCGCATCTCCTCTGTCTTCAGACAGGCAGCCATCACCATGGCATCTTTTGGCACAGGAAAATCTCCTACTCTAGATCCAAGCTTTCTCTGAAGACACTCTTTTGACTCTAAGTTTTTTCACTCTATCGTGCACTCGTTTTATTTTCTCCGAATCACCGCCTAAGTTTGCCAACGTAAGATTCCTTACTTTTACTTATCACTTGCAATTAAAGGGCATATGATATTTTTCTAACTTTCGGGAACTTTTTAGGTCTTACAGATAGGCAGAAATGTAACACCGCCATTGCTGCCTCAGACCGAGGAACCTAGAGAAAAAGGGCACTTTTAAAACACAAGCCGCACCCTACCCTCGCCTCTCCTCAGCCTCAGTAAAACTGTCACGGGCAGTTGCTTCTTTGCTGACATTTTTTTCCCTGCTTCTTCATCTATAATATGTAAGACGTAGCACAAATAGTTGCTTAGGTGCCCTCTTAGATCAAGAACTACAGGAATGAATAGCAAGCAACCTTAGAAAATACTAGATTCCACTTTACCCAAGCAAAAAATGTGGTCAG